AACTTTTTATCTACAAGAGATTTAAAGTAAATCCCAGGTCTGCAGGCTCTGCACTGTATATTAAACACCCCACATAAGTAATTAATTTGGACAAATCACTCGCTCCTTTCTCTCTTCTAACTATATATTTATATTTAAAGAAGTTCTTTTTGAATAAATGCATAACAGCTTAAAAAAATTGACAAAATAATCTTGCAAAAATCTAAAATGCCACAATTTAAAGTGATCCAAACAAAAGCCACATAATTCCCTTCTCTGAGTATTGTAAATACTTTTTATGATATTTACTGTAACTGAGTTGAACAGCATCCCACTAGAGTATCAGCATTTTTTTCATCTTGTTTGCAAAACTGAATCTCTAAAAATTTAAACTTTATTGAGGATTATCGAGGAATGTAATCTTCAGATTCAGATTTCTCTTCAGAAATAAGCTTTCGTTTGGAAAGCAGGTATGCACAGCAGTTCTATCATGGTGGCTGCCAAACAAACGTTTCTTTCAACATTCCCTGCCTTCCTCTGGTCAACTGCCTGAAGTAGCTCCATACTGTGACAACTCTATAAGAGAAATATGAAACTGCAGAGATAACTAAAATATTTCAAATCAAGTTTTCTGGACTAGCACTCAAAAGAAATCACTAATAATAATGGATACTCCACTGTTTTAGAGTTTATTTTAGGTATTTTAGTACTCAATGTAATGAATGCTTTGGTATCTATTCGTAAATTAATCTTTAGTTAGTTCAATAATGCCTCTGGTGGGGAAATTATGATGGAAACATTAATAAATATGCAAATTATGAAGAATGTACAGTTGTGCCTGTAAGTGTACAGTTCAGATGGTACAATACATATTTTATTAGTATCGTACTTTATTAGTAAATTAACTTAAGAATGTCACCATTGCTGGTGTTACAGTTGATGAGTAATTGGAACATTACATGCACAAGTACAAGATAATCAAAGCAACTGATATCATTTACAATTATACACCAATAAAAACTCCTTCACATTGTTGGTTAAAAATTCAGTACCTTTAATAAACAAAGTGTTTGATATTTACAGCAAGGCTTTTCTTGATGGCTAAAATTCTGTGACCCGCCTGAAGGATCCGACGATGGCGCAGGTGGCACACCAGTCTCGGTACCTCCGATATTCCCCAGGTTTCAGGAAGTACTGTCTGCCTCGGTAGTTAGGGTACTCATAGAAGATCCAGTAGCCATTCATAACATTGCACGAGTAGACATGGCGGTGATGAAAACGGTCAGACACACAAGGACAGTCGTCCATGAACTCCATCATGTGACCGGTGAAGTCGGGCTTCTCGTACAGGCGCATTCTGTAAGAGCCTCGATACTGTGTGGCGTAGGAAGACAACAAATGGTCAGAAGGTTGACACGAAACGGATCTAGCAAAGGTCTGCCTAAAAGTCACCAAAAGAAGTCTCTGAGAATGTGTGGAGATGTGAAATCTACGTATTAGGTTGGTGTCCTACCGCTGGAATCATCCGGCATGAGCGAATGCTGCTACTGAAGCCCATCCATCTCTGATAGTCGGGGTACTCTCCCCTCCTCATGTAGTACTGGTGGCCCATGAAGTTGGGTCGCTCATAAATCATGAAGCAGCCACTCTCCACTCGAATGGAGTTGCAGCGGCTGAAGTGCAAGTGAAGGTCTGTGCAGTCATTGCTGCACTCATAGCTCCGACCCTGGAAGTTCTTGTCCTCGTAAAAAATAATCTGGAGTGGGAAGACATTGGATCATCAAGAATCCAGAGTCAAACTTTGCTTTGTCTCAGTGTTGAAATCAAACAAGCTCACAAAAAACTGTCAAACCATGCTTTGCTTTAATTTATATTCATTATAAGCAGAGTAGATAAACAGCACTCACCTTGCCCATGGTCTCCGTTGGAGAGATTCCCCATGTTTTCAGGGCTTTTTATACCACCTCTTGACAAACAAAGTATTGTTATTCAAATTCTCTCAGAGTTATAACTAAAGGCTACTGGCACATGTTTAGCTTTTTGTTGGAGCAAAAACATTGGGTTAGAAATATGGATTTGTATTTGAAAAAAGGATAAATAATTAACTGGTTTGGTGTTTTGACTTGCATGGACAAAGGAAAGGACTAGTATGGTATCCACACATCCAGTGAACAATGGCTACAGAACAATATGGAACAGCTCTTTTACATTAAATATGTTGTCTAACCAAGCAGGAAGCCATTCACTCTATATGCTTCTTTACCTGCGCAGACCCACTGTGGGGAAAGAAACACGTGTACAAGAGTTGGTTGGTACTCTAGATGTAAAGACTCTATTAGAAGTTGTACAGTAGGACGAGCATTTAAATTCTGTGCGTGTGTGGATGTACGATACACTCTGACTTTGACTTTACGTCGTGTGAGGCTCTTCTTTACAGAATTCACTTTAATTAGTTCTGTTCTAATTTCAACACAAGTCACTAACGCTATTTGTATAGACAAAAAAGTTTGACGGGGCCCTGTTAAAGCTTGATGTCAAAAGAAAATGGAAGAATCAAATGTATGACAAAGTTTCAAATCGCATGTCTTTAGGTTTTTCACTGAACCCTAAATTACCTCTAATATGGCCATCAGTAGACGTTTAGAGAAAGCAATTGCTTTGTATGTGTGTGTGTGTGTGTGTGTATATATATTTAATAGTGATAGCTTTATGATGCTTATGATTGTCACTGTTTTATGCCATTGTTTTACATTAAACATATTTGCCTACAGTGTAAAGCCTGTCCTTTAAGCACACCAGAGTAACGATGCTAATAGCACATTTAGGTGTGCAAAAAATTGTCATGTTATGGGATAAAGTATGAACGTTTTCCATATGATTCCTACTCTTTAAATTTACATCATACTCTATGTTGTTGGGTCCATTCAGAATCTGGACGTATTCTGTCCAGTTTCTCTCCATACCGTTAGCTGTACCAGTGATCCGGATCGTGTCTAAAACCACACACACCAATTAATCCCACCAGACTGGGAGAGGGGCAGCACTGGCATTGAATGGTATGGTATGCTATCCAAATGCAAAATGAAGATTAAACTATGCCAGAAGCTATTGCAGATACTTTGTTTAGACTATTGCTTCGAGACAGTGCTCATTTATTTTATATTTTTGTAATCTCCACGTTTTTTTTCTATACGAGTCCCTTTATGACACAATACAGTGATGTTTTGGGTAACAACAAATGAGTAGATACAAAACATAAACAGGACAAGTTCAAGGTCTTATTCAGCAATTAAAGTTTATTGACTTCAGTTAAATCTGTTATTCTCCTAATTGAGCCAACCTTCGGACTGATGCCTCCCCCGTCGCCTCATTTGTGGTACTCTCCAGGTTTCAGGTAGTAAACTCTGCCTTTACAGTTTGGCTGATCGCACAGCATCCAGTGGTCATCCGTAACGCGGCAGAAGCTGAATTCAGACATGCTGAGCTTCTGCTGGACATTTGAACAGTCAGCCACCAGCTCATGCATTTGGCCATACATAGCACAAAGCTTGTAAAGCCTCAACTTGTAGGAGTCATGCTGCTGCCAAGTAGAAAGACTCACTGCCTCATTCATTGAAACCCCTCACTCAATATAATACTTCAGCTTTAAACATCTTTGAACAAATTCTTCATTTTGTCTCATTTATGACCTACCTGAGGCATCAAAAGCCAAACTCTGATATAGTCACTAATCCCAACCACTTTGATCGTCAGAGTAGTCTCCTCCCACATGGTAGTTGCCCATTGACAGTTACCACCATGATGGAGTTGCACCTAGTGGAGAACGTGTGAAGGTGTGAGCAGTCAGAGGTTTTCATGAGGGTGGCCTTGGAAGTTTCTGTCCTTGTAAGATATGATCTATGAAAGCAAACACAAATACTGTTTCACTCAAGTAAGAAATACATAGAAGATAAAAAAAAAAACCTAAATATTTGGTTTCCATTACCTTTTCCATGGTCTTTACAACAGGGTATATTACTGTTCACTGTTGTCCTTAAGTCAAGCCATGGTGCTTTATAAAAAAAGAAAAAATGGGAAGCTGTGTGATTGCACAGCATAAACCATTGTCATGCAAATATTTCCCACAGAGTGATGATGGATCTGGGATGGGGTTGCATGGATGGGAGAATTCTGTTGGTGAGTAATGCATCATTGTACTTTGTCCCGTGTTCATCACTATTTTTACTAAACGTAACATTGTACAACAGAAAGTGTTTGCAGGAGCATCAGAAAGAGGAAACTGACGTTCAGTCGGGCTGAGGTAATGTTCTGTACAATCTACCAGCTGATGTGGGCCATCGTGATCTTGATAGAAAGTCTTATTCACATCAAGTCCACCTCGTGAAATCATTAAAAATGGAAGAGAAAACATGTAGTCTTCCTTAAGCCTCTGTCACAAAATGTTAGGTGTTGCCTCACGTTGGCCTAGATGAGAATTGTAAAGAGTCATGTGTGTCAGTTTTGCATTGTTTTCAGTTTTATTCTTTCAGGACTGGGTGGTCACAGACTATTTTTTTTTTTTCTTTCACAATTAACATTCTGGGGTCAATGATTTCCCTTTACACAGCCCATTATTGCCCCTAAGTAGTTGAATAACAGTTATCTTTATTAATTTGATCAGTGCAGATAGAACACATTCGCAATGTAACATGAGATTAATGTTAGTATTGAGCCTCTGCATAAATTTTCATTCAGTGGGGTATATGTACTGTCGATTGCATGTGATCAATTCCATGGCAGCCTGGCTTAAATAGCAATCAAACTGTTTGTAGTACAGCATCTGATATTGGTGACGGTGGAGTGTCATTGGTATAAAGCTGTGTGTCTTACAACACTATTAAAAAAACAAGGCAGATTTCAACATTATGATAGGATTATTAGAAAAATTGAAACTGATGAGATGTTTAACAACTACTTGTTGTTCTTTAGTATTCCCACTTCATCGTCCTGATGCTGCCTACAACCTACGGGACATTGGAGACTCCTTTTTGAAACTGCTTTATTAGAAGTGAGAGCATGTATGATGATGATGAAGTGAAAAGATTTATTGTTATTTGTTTGTTGCTTTTGTTGAAGTTTTTCTCAATTCAAACAGACAATGTTCTGCATTACACTAGTAAAGTTTTTTTCAGGAAATTAAGGTTAAAATGAATATAAATACGACAAAATAAACAGTCTTCAGTGCTACTGATATTCCCCCAGAGTAGATCAATAGTCTATAATGCGTCTGATGGAGCCAACCCTGGCACTCCTGCCGCCCCACTCACTGAACCTTTTATACTCTCCGGGTCGAATCAGGTACATCTTGCCTCGGTAGTGAGGGCGCTCGTAGAAGAGCCAGTTCCCCTTTCTAACATTGCAAGAGAAGATATTGTGAATGTTGAAGCGGTCCACTAGGCTGGGACAGTCGTCCATCAGGTCCATCATCTGGCCACCAAACTCAATCCTCTCATACAAGCACATATTGAATGACCCAGGCTCCTAGGATGGAAAAGGAGTGAAATGATATATTACGTCATGTCATCAGAGATGTCATAATCAAACAGCAAGTAATCAAATGTTGCTTTAAATGGATTGCACCACTCAAGATGGCAGCATGTTGTAGTAGCTCTGTTGCTTAGGGAAGCCCCATCAAAAGCTGGGAGTTAAAAGGCGAAGCAAAATAAAAAACAAAACAAAAAAACGAAGGCTATTTCTGCTCTGTGGACAATCTGATTATTATTATTATTATTTTGCGACAATTAATTATTTATAAAATCAAGGAAATTACAGAGAACCCTGAACATCTTTTTCATAAAACTGTGACATAACAAGAGTGTTTTCAGTCAGAGGCTTCTTTGGATTGCGGTAATACAGACTGCTAGAGGAGATTCGTCCTGACAATAGTCATCAGCATCTAACTCTGAAGAAAACTGGACAATATGAATCAAGTCAAGTTTCTTTGTACAGCAGAATCCAGGCAGTTCAAAGTGCTTTACACCATAAAAACATCAAACAATAACCAATTACGAAACAAGCAGTAAACCTTACATTTTGTCAAATGCCGTCAGCAAAATGATTAATAATAACCATCATCACACATCAAATATATTGATCAGAGTTCCAGTTATTACAAATCAAAGGCAACTCCAAACAAATGGGTTTTTAGCCTCGATTTAAAGGAACTCAGTGTTTCGGCTGGTTTGTCATTTTCAGGAATTTTGTTCCAGATTGCATAAAAGCTGAATGCTGCTTCTTCATGTTTGGTTCTGGTTCTGGGGATGCAGAGTGGCCCAGAGCCAGACGACCTGAGAGGTCTGGAAGGTTGATACAGAAACAGCAGATCTTATATTTAAAGGGTGACTTTTTCCGGGAAGTATTTTGATGTTAAACAGTTCAGTGATTTCTAAACTAATTGAAAGTCTATTCTCGGAGCTACAGTGAGTCAGTGGAAGGACTTTAAAACTTGCTCTATCGTACTAGTATTAGTCAGAATGTGAGCAGCAGTGGTCTGGATCAGCTGCAGCTGTCTGAGTTTTATGCAGGCCTGTGAAGACACTGTTGCAGTAATCAATGAAACAATAGAAATATTTTTCAGGTGACAGAAGGCCGACTTTGTAAATGTGTTTGTATGTCTATGAAGGTTCAGGTGTGAGTTCATCACTATTCCCAGGCTTTGGACCTGATCTCTAGTTTCTCACTGTAGTAACTGAAGCTGTGTGCTGACAGGTCCATAGATAACTTCAGTTTTGTTTCTGTTCACCTGGAAAAGTTATGGGACATCCACATATTAATTTTACCTCCATTATAGGTAGAAAGTAAATGTTGACTATAAGCATTTGTCTTATGAGACCGTTTATGCTGGTTATTTTTATAGTTTTAATCTAATCAAGTTTAATATGAAATTCAGCTAAAAGTAATCACTTAAGGCTGCATGTTGGAGCATTTGTTAGCAGTGCTGCCTCCCAGCAAAAAGTTCTTGAGATTTAAATCTCAGGCTTATCTTTAATCATTTTTAAATACATGTTTTTAAACATTTAAGGACAATATTTTCAGAATAATCTGTTTAAGATTAACTTAAAGGTCAACAGATCTATTTACATCTCCTAAAGTTTTGATTATGTTTTTTTTTCTACTATTCACATCGTAATAAAAAGTCACTTTCTATCCCACCTAGTCACATATATCATCTGTGAGTGCATCATCGTTTTAGCTGGTAACTGGTGTTTGTGCGGCATGTTGTGTTGACTTTCCCCTCAAACAGCAACTCACCGTGTGGATGTGGCGACAAGAGCCGACAGAGTCGCTGACACCCGTCCAGTGATGGAAGTCAGGATACTCTCCTTTGCTCACGTAGTACTGGTTCCCAGTGTAGTTGGCTTTTTCGTAAATCATGAAGCAGCCACTCTCCACCCTGATGGAGCCGCACCGGCTCAGACTCCTCAGCAAATCTGCACAGTCTTTGGAGCACTCAAAATGGCGCCCAGAGAACTCCCTGTTCTCGTAGAAGATAATCTGCATGTGGAGAAAACGGGATGTCTCACACCATCCCGCAAAAAAAAAGAAGAGAGAGAGAAAAACTTCATACAAGTAAAATGCAGGTAATGTTGAAGTTCTCTACCTTCCCCATGCTGCTTGCCTCACCTGCCCTGCCTGCACCGAGCCTCATGTGATCTATGCCAGCCTTTGAGGACTGCCGCCTGAATGCAAAATGCAGAGTCTGCATGTGGCATTCATGTTGTTCCGGCCAGGAATCACTGGTGTTTGTGTATCCCTGTTGTCCTAATCATATGTTTTGGAATGTGCTAAAAAAATATTTAAAAAAATCTGAAGAAATAAAATATGTATTTAGTGATATTATATTAATTTGTTCCCCCAACTAACTCCCTCAGTAACATTATGTGTTGGGTTGTGGAGCTCATGCTTCAAACTTTAATCACCAGGTAATCATAAAGTGCTGCATATGCACAATCTTTGCTCCCATGCACGTTTATTCTGTTTTGCCTTTTTGTCGCCCTTCTGAATTTCAGAACATCAACCAAAACTTAAACTCACACAAGGAAACCGAAGTACAAACAAGTGCACCGACCTGTTTTGTCCTGCTGGATACATGAAGGCCACAAGCAGATGGAAAGACATTCTTTTTCCAACAGAGCAGAAATCATAATTTAATCACTGCTTGGACTTAGATTGGGGAATAGAATATTGCTTTTTGATATTTTTTTTGCACACTTCATGTTGTCAGACGGGTTCGAATTAAGTGATTTTTTGTTTCCACAGGTCAGACAGCATTGGTTATTTGTACACGTAAATGTAATTTTCAACAGGAACATGTTTCAAACAGAGAAATTAAGACAGGCACTAAGCAGTACAGTGTACATAAATTAGTACAGTGTAACTGGAAAGTATTCACAGAGCTTCACTTTTTCTGCGTTATGTTATGTCACTGCCTTATTCCATATTGTACATATGTACAGTGAGCACCTCAAATACCCCAAGGTTATATTTATCAACATGCAAGGAAATACTAAATGTAATATTTTTGTAGTTTAATCTTAAATACTTTTTTCCTTTGACTTTAAGTCTGTAAATACAGAGAAAACTGTAGTTCTGTGTTTTGTTTGAAGACTCGTCTGTGTTTACATATGGTATCAACACAGCTAAATGAGCGCTATTAACATAATAGGAGCTTTTTGAGTGTCTATATTTGAAAACAGAACCACATAAAGTGAACTTTACATTCCACAACAGACTCCATTTGGACAGTTTCTCTTTCATGCTGTGGGAAGGGCCACCATCTTTATTTCTGTACCAACTGGCTCTGCTTGAGGATGACCAGCAGCAATCTCTTCTGAATGGCAGCCACACCACAACACTGAAAGAAGGTCTACGCAGACATTAATAGCTAATCAATTGGAACATATTTTAATCTGATGTTCCATCAATCGACTGTCGATTAACTGTTTGCATCCCTAATCTGCACTGATCATCCATGTCTTCCTCGGACTTGAAGGTTTCTATAAACACTGTGAATGCTTCTTCAGCAGGAGTTGACTGCTTGTTTATTGATTCTCTAGAGAGACTCCAAAAATGTGTGCAAGAAAGAGATTCATTCACTAGAACTTAGAATAAGTCTCTAACATAACAAAATGTGGAAAAACTGAAGCAGTGTGAATACTGTCTGGATGCACTCTATGTTATTTTAATTTTGTCTTCTGCACTGTTTTAACTAACACATTCTTTAACATGTTTGCCATGTTTCCTTCATGGCTTATGGTGAAGTGCAAACAGGAATTCTTTTGGCTTTCTCTGATTTGTCCGCTGAATTCCTTGGTCTTCATGATGGTCAACTAATTTTCTCTATCATGCCTCTGAGAACTTTGAAGAATAGCTGGATTCATACTGAGTTTAGATTACAGACAGAAGACCTTTTCTCATATTAGTAGCTGAATTAACTTTTCCGGAAATATTACATGTAGAACTGTTGTGTTAAAGGATGTGTCCCTGCAAATCTATATTTGGAAGAAGTACAAAATGTGCTTTGTCTGTTATTCTAGGTTGGAGTCCTGTTGGTCAGAATCTCACTGTAAGATCAGGTAAAGCAAACTCTTTTAAATATATATTTTTATCATAAAGTGGAGTTAAGAACAAGGAAAAGCCTCCATTTTGATTTTCAATCATCCATCTGTCTCAGTAAAAGGAGTCTGACAATAAAGTTTTTTTCTGCTGAAGATACTGAATGTCTACTACAGGTAATGCTTCAGAACATGATATGAGTCAATACTGGGAGTATTTTATTTAGTCCTCTGGTCAGAGTCAGAATATCCAAGCATGTTACATCTTCCTGGAAGAAGTCGCCCTTCAAATGAAAAGAGCAAGAGCAAAATTGAATCCACTTGAGCACTGACGTCATTTTCATCAGCGTGTGGAATATGGCAAAGAGCAGGCGTTTTATGAGAACCCTTTCTTAGAGATCCATCAGACGTCTGATGGAGCCAATCCTGGAGTTTGCGCCTTCCCATTCACTAAAGCTCTTGTACTGGCCGGGCCTCAAGTAGTAGTGGCGTCCCCTGTAGTTGGGTTGCTCGTACACCAGCCAGTGGCCGTCCAGGATGTTGCAGGAGTTGAAGTTGGCGAGGTGAAAGCGACCCATGAGGTTTGGGCAGTCATCGGTTAGCTCCATCATCTCACCTCCCATGTCGAAGTGCTCGTACAGCTGCATCCTGAAGCTGCCTTTGTGCTGGAGAAGCATGTCGGATGGAACCATTAAGAACACGTTCATGCTCACATTAAGCCTGGAAACAACTGACTTAGATATATCTGAAGGTTAGAGGTCTTCACTGTTTCTGCAGAGACCATTAGAGCTGTTAATAGAACTGATATTGTATTCCATTTGAACCCGAAAGGTGGATATTTTTCAAACCATTGTGTGTCATCTGCTTCAAATAGTAAACTCATCTGAGTGAAACCTGTAGTGATGAACTCAGACCTGAACCTTGAGAGACACACAAGGATAGTTACAAAGTTGGCCTTCTATCACCTGAAGAACACTTCCAGGATTAAATAACTAATGTCCCAGCAAGATCTAGAGAAACTCATTCATGCATTTATCTTTAGTCACACTGATTACTGCAACAGTGTATTTCTAAAATGTCAATCAGCTATATCTGGTCCAGGACGCTGCTGCTGGTGTTCTCACTAAAACTAGGAAAAGTAAAGTCCCTACACTGGCTCCCTGTGGCTTTAAAATACTGACGTTAGTTTATAAATCACTGAACGATTTAGCACAAGATATATTAAAGACCTGAGGCAGATGGCTCAGGTCCTCTGGTTCTGGTCTGCTCTGCAACCCCACAACCAGAACTAAACATGCAGAAGTAATATTCAGTTTCTATGCCCCATTAATCTGAAACAAACTTCCAGAAAATGGCAAAATATAAAAAATAAATAAATAAATAAAAAACACTGAAACATTGAGTTCCTTTAGATCACACATGTTTAGACTTGCCCAAAATAATAACTGGAACAGTGATCAATATATTTGATAAACTTTGACTAAAGGTTCCATCAGATAAATGATCTGGAACCTCCACTAAGATAGGGATTCTGACACACGTTAAAATTAACTTGAAAAGATCAATTAAAATACACCATTATAATTATGATTCATCTTGATTTTTGTATGTAGATATCAGGCCTGCTCTGGGTGCAGGCTGTGGGAGAGATGTTGGGTAAAACAGTCATATAGATCATTGTCCAGTTCTAAAGTTACTTTGGCTTCAATAGTTATGGAAAGTGCTGCTCCTGCATCTGAAGGGAGATACTTTTTCATCTAGAAAATGAATTTCTTTCTAGAAAAAAAAAAGTTTTTTCCATTATATATTTTTTAAAAAGTGACAATTTTTACCCACATACATACTTTCTTGCTGTCTAACTAAATATGCCAAAAGTTCTTAAGAATTCTTGAGAAAATTGGATTTCTGGTAAAATTCCAATATTTGTTAATTGTCTATAAAATCAGGAGTAAGATAGCCCCGGTTGCTCTGATTGGCTAGCTGTACTAGCATAATCAGTCTCCGTCCACCACTTTGCATCATCTCAATTGGAGTTGAAAAAAGGAAACTTTCTCAATATTCTTCACAGCAGAAAATAAGTAATCATTATAACCTGCTATCAAACCCAGCCTGTGCTATATAAATCTACAACCTTGCTCGTTTAAAAGACAGCTTACCGAGGGGATCATGAGGCATGAGCGGACACAGTCATTCATGCCGGTCATGCCCATGTAGTCAGAATACTCTCCCGTTCTCATGAAGTACTGGTTCCCCATGAAACCGGGTCGGTCATAGATCATGAACATGCCACTCTCCACGCGTATGGAGCGGCAGTGGTCAAACATTGAGTGCAGGTCAGCGCAGTCACTCATGCACTCATAGTGATGGCCTCTAAAGTTTCTGTCCTCATAGAAGATGATCTGATGGAGCAGAAGAAATCATCCTGTCAGCATAATCACGACATGCCACCGAAAAAATGGGACTTCAAACTGAACACAAACCTTTCCCATGATGGCTACTGTCAAAACCCAAACAAATACCTTTGTTTTTACACTATGAAGTGTCCAACTTTATATCCATGGGGAAGGATGTTCAGTTGCACGTTGTGATTCAAAGCAGGCCTGCTGTCAGCAGACTACAGGAGTAACCCTAACCCTAACCCAGCAGAAAGCAGGTTCTAGCACCAGCCACATCACGGACATGCACTGGAACAGTCACTGCAGCTTGTTTACACAGCCTGTGTTTGCTTTGAATGCATTGTCTTCATCACAAGTTTAAAAAAACTGGAAGGAATTCACAAAGCATCTTCTTTTTTTTGTTTGTTGGTTTGTTTTTTGTTTTGCTCAAGCTTTTTGCTTGGATTTGGCTGGATTTATAAAACACGTATCACTAAATACATGCCGGTGCAGTCCCAACCACCAAGTCCAGCAGGTGGGTGCTACTACTTTTTTCACCGGGTCTTGTTTATTCTAGTTTCAGCCACAAACATAAAAGATGCAGAAGTGAAAAAATATATATATTATAATTTGCAGAAAGTTCCAGGAATTGAGCTGACAAGGCATTCCTCAGAACTTAAAGACATCTGGCTGGGGGGATGTTGTTGGAACAGTTTCCCGAAATCAATAATTGATGATTCTGAGACATTTAAAAGATGCACTCTCAGTGATTCTTGGGAAGAGGGACAAAACACGTCCTCTGGATAAAGCACAGAATTTGAATAAAATATACACAAAAAATAAAATAAAGTGTTCAGAATAACATCATATAAATTGAGGTAGTTTGGCATTTCGTCAACTCCGTCAGTTTTTGTGACTCTTTCAGTGAAATTGTTGACAAATCTTACTTCAATGTACAGTTAATTCATTTTAATCTATTTTACATAAATAGCATAACTTCACTTGTATCAAGTATTTCTCTTTTACTCACTAGTTTGTCACCACCTTCTGTTCTGTGTCTTTATGTTGTTGTTTTTTTTGTTTTAAATATATATATATATTTTGTTCTTGAGAAGCATTTGTCTCTTAAACTGAGTAAAAATAACACTAGTAGGATCATTAAAAACTAATTTTATATTTATTTTTATCAGATGGTGTTAACAAAATTCTGGGCCTGGTCCATTAAAATTGTAACTTTCAAAAAAAAAGTTTCAAATGGAAACGTGCACCTTAGCATCTTTACATTTCCAAAACATTATTTATCATATTTGAATACATAAGCCTAATAAATAATTACATTATTATTTTTTTTTGGGGGGGGGGATGTGAACCCATTTTATCCCTCTTTTCAAGACTCATTGACTCTCGTAACTGAAGTTAAAATGTACCTGACAGTAAAATTGTTAAATTTGATATATACAAATATGCAACTGATGTAAGTTAAATAATGTTAATAAAAAATAAACACTATAATATCCTTTTAATTTTGACATAGCAAATGAAAAAGCGATCTCCGATTATCAGTTCTGCCAGACTGGCTGTGGATGGCCTCCTGTGTTTTCTTGTGAATGTGCATTTTTACCTGAAACATTTACTGTTGAGACCAAAGCAGACGTATATCATTTGATTAACTTTTGATCAATTCAAAAATTTCTAGATTTCCTAGCAGTGTAGGACATCAATCTCTTAGGGGAATTTCTAACAGAAAGCCCCTTCTTGTGCAGGTATGAAGACTTCTCAGGATTACAGTAAATCAAACATGTTTAGTGAAACAGAACCATGTTGCATTGTGATCAAAATAAATACTGAAAGTGCACAAAATTCCTCTAAGTCACAGAAGTAGTAAATCAGATAATATTGAGACATTTATTCACCATTGACAAGAAAATCATTTACAACAGCTCATTTTATTAATTTTTTTTTCTAACAGCAAACAGCAGCTTCATCAAGTCAGATCTTGGCACATCCTGTTGTTCTTATCAGTAACTGAAAGAATTAAAACTCTGTGATCCTGCGGAAAGAGCCGGTGGTGGCGCAGGTGGCCCCCCAGTCATTGAACTTGCGGTACTCGCCAGGACTCATGAAGTACTGCCGGCCACGGAAGCTTGGGTGTTCGTAGAGGGTCCAGTAGCCATCCAAGACTTTGCAGGAGTAGATGTCTCGGCTGCGGAAGTGCTCCTGCACCGACTCGCAGTCCTCGCTGAACTCCATCATCTGACCTTGGAAGTTGGGCCGCTCGTAGATACGGATGCGGTAGGGGCCCTCGCTGGTCTGCAGGTGGAAGATAGAAAATGAAAGGAGCCTTCTGGGTCTGTGGCTGACAGTCAGTCACCATGTTTAGTCATCTGTCAGTGCTTATCCATCAGTTACCTATCCAGGTAAATCCACATTGGTTTGAAACATTGGAAGAATAACTAGTATTGTTTTTGCTTTTTAAATTCAACAGGTGAAAACAGGCCAAACTAACTATTTTGACTCCTAACAGCGTAAAACATTCATCAGTTTGAGCTCTCAAAGTAACCTCACATAGGAGAAGGTACGGCAGGAGCGGATGGTGTCGTTGTAGCCCATCCAGCGCTGCTTGTCAGGGTACTCTCCTCTGGTCAGGACGTACTGGTAGCCAGTGTAGTTGGGCTTCTCGTAGAGCACCCAGCAGCCACTCTCCACCTTGATGGAGTTGCAGCGGGTAAAGTGGGGGTTCATGTCAGGGCAGTCGGCATCGCACTCATATGAGCGGCCCTGAAAGTTCCGGTCCTCGTAGAATATAATCTGAGTCCAACAAGAGGAGCGGGAAGAGGAAATATTCAGATCAAACATTCTGAATATGTGTGTTTTTTCCATATTCAGTTTTCTTTCATTCTACACTCAAAACACCAAATTACTTCTTCTGTGCGTCATGAAAAGCCGCAGGGCAGTGGGGCAACTTTAGATCTAAGGCAAACAGGAAAAACAAGAAATGAATGGGAAGCTCTTACCTTACTGCTCATCCTGAAAAGAGTGCTGGAGCCGGTCACCAGCTGAATATGGTGGTCTCACAAAGCAGGAGCAGAGCTCTGCTATATAAACCTCAGATCCCGCTTTAGCTGGTTTTTCAATGAGCTGGGATTTAACGAGCGGGTACCACTGCCAAAAATCTTGATCCTGGCCATAGAACCAAAATCCCTGAATCATCAGGACAAAACTCCTAGCAGGCGAATTACTGACCAACTCTGAACTCTTCATTGATATCGACATCAGGAACACATTTTATCCACCCATCCAACACAGAGGAGTTTAATCTTTGTGCCAGAGGTCAACAATAACTGTGCAGCTGGTGGAGTCCAACAGAAAATGTGACGTTGGTGACATGATATCAGAGAGGTTCTGTCAATACAACGCTGTTTGTTCATTGCACTACATAGAATAAGTTTAAACATGTTATGTTAACCTTCCATTGGATCACAGATGTAAGTTTGGCTCCATTATATTATACCAGCACAGACATTTGTCTTATTGATCAACACTGAATCTGACTAAACATATACTTTAAGCAATTGGGGAAAGACAAAATGTTGATGCCATGCTTCTATAGACTAAAATATCAAAACTAAATGCATGTCAAAGATTCTAATTCTTTTAGGGTTTGTCCTCTGATTGAATAAATCTAAAATTTAAAGTGTTTGACCATAAATCCATTTTTACATGTGATGGAAAAAATTTGGGGAATTTTGCAAGAACAACTCAAATGCAAAGTATGAAGTGGCAGCATGATGTTGTGGATGGACTGGTGCACTTCACATAGTAGAAGGGGTCATGAGAAAACAACGTTATGGAGAAAACAAGATCCAAAGACATTAGCCAGGATGTTAAAACTTGGATGGAAACTGATGACTCCACACATTCATCTGCATTAGTTACATTCTGGCTTAAGGACAACAAAATAAATGTTTTGGAGTGACCATGACAAAGCCTTAACCATAGTCCCATAGAAAAAAACATGTGAGCAAAGCTGAACATGTGTGTAAGTGAAGTGGTTCTACATGTCTGACCCAGTTACGTCAGTCCTGTTGGGAGGAATGGGCTAGAATTACAGAAAACCATTCTGAAATGGTTCAACCAAAGTCACACAGCTGGATGGCAGCTTCAGTCCTGCAAAGAGTCTTGTGAGCCCTCGTAGTGCTCAGCTGCTTCCCGGTGACAACCACTGCTTTCCTGTGGGGTAGAAAGCAGAAAGGACAGTTTACACCAGCAGAGGACAGCAGAGGACTGAACTGTGATGTACTCACGCTGAGAAAGGACTCAGGCAAAGATGGAGATGAGGATGGTGGAGGAATGGGTCTCTTTGGGGTTCTCGCTTTTGCCTGCTCAGACAGCCTTCTGTTCAGCTTCTGATCTGCAAGATTTAAAAAGAGATTTTGAAACAAAATCAGATCAGTTAGAGAATATAAAATCAACACTAAGTCCTCATGACCGGAAGTCTTTTTTCTTGTTTCTCTAATTTCCAAGGGAAGTTGTAATAATTGTTTTTGTACTGACAAAATTTCAAATGTCATTACAGTATATTATGAGACAGATAATCTGTGAAAAGATAGGTCTCCTCCACCTCTTAGAGGCGTCAATGCTAAATGTGCTAATGGCAGAGAAGCGACTCACCGTTACAGGAAAACCGTTTATCCGCCGTCATCAGTGGTCATGCTAACTAGCTTTATAATTCACAACAGGCTCTGCTGACAGGCAGAATCTGTAGTAGCAGAGTACAAGTTGGTGAGAGGGCGTGCGGTGCGCACACGAACATGATTGACAGTGCTAAGACCCGCCTCGTGGCTCTGGTTGTTTCTAGATTGCATTGGGAGGAAGCACAGAAGCTCAATTTTTTCACACATTATCTGACTCATACTCTCATACTCATGACAATTATTATTTAAAAAAAAAAAAAAAAACATTTTTATATGACCCAACTTTAACATAGCCCATTGTCACAGGTTAACTATTCTTAATATTAAATTAAAACTAGCTTGTTTAAATAACGGCCAGTGATCACAATTTTAAAAATGGTAATATTGTATTGTTTTATTAGTAAAGTATTTAATTGTATTTTACTCTCTCGATAATAAGTATGAATAGTTCATGTAACAACTAAAATAAATCATGAATGAAAGAAGCAGAAAGAAGTATGAACTTATATCTCCCCTCTCATTCGCATAAAAAGAAAATCAGTCCTTCAGCTCAGAAGGCTATGTATTACAGACATTGACTCACTCATCACTCATTCATATCACAAATGTTACATCAATCTGCTCTATATTAGCAGTCCAACTACCGTAAATATAGAATTGAGAATTTTAATCTAGAGATTGTAAAATTGTCCCGGATTTTTAGAACATGTAGTTAGCAAAAGAATACTTGTTTTCTTGGTGCAATAAACATAATTAGATTTTTTATGTTAATGGTGTCCCCAAGTCCACACCACTCTGAGTGGAGAGCCATGTTGGGGATGTCCAAAACCATGTTAGGAGACAAAACGAAGGTAATATGCAAAATCCTGATCAGAAATTTATAAGACGGGTTTGATTACTGCAATTGCAATAAATATCATTTCATCGATTGTTGAGTGTAGCATGTGTTTAATATAGTATTATTTGTATTTTTTTTTATTACACCCAATTGCTAATCAACCACATGCTCCTTGTTCAGCAGTCAACTCTCCTGCATCAGTATCTGTTAGTAAGATACTGTAGCTCTTGGTCAGATCTTCATGTTAGCATACTGTTAGGCCACCAGCCTTTTTTTCCCCTGGTTGGTGGGGGAAAAAGGCCAGGAAAAATAATTTATTCAAGAATAAATTATTTGGAATTTATCCTGGTTGAATGAAAACAGTTTCAATTCTAATTTGCCGTCGGGATGAGAAGTTTTGGTCTTAACTGAACATTACTCATGTTTGCTGGGAGTTGGAACATCGAGTGTTGGGATCAGAAGTAGAATCACGAGTGGAGTGTTGGGGTTAGCAGGCAGTTGCTAGAGCATGTGACAGTCGGTGACAACAGGAGGTGACGGACACCAGACTGCTTGCTTTGCAGATGTTTGGAAGGAAACAGGCACTTGAGGGAATCAGCCATGTGATGAAGGTGGAAGTTGCCCAACAAACGCTCCATAAAATGTGTACTGTCATACTGTATGTCATGCACCGCCTTAACGGAACTTGTGACTTGTTAGGGAGACTTTACTGCACTTGAGTCATCCTTATCCAAACTATTGCTTCATTAGCATAGACGGCTAATTTCAGAGTTTTGCCATGACTGGGAGAAGTTAGAGGGGTGGCTGTTCCATCCCATCCATCCATTTTCTGAACACCCTTGTCCCTCAGTGGGGTCGGGAGGGGTGCTGGTGCCTATCTCCAGCTAACGTTCCGGGCGAGAGGCGGGGTACATCCTGGACAGGTCGCCAGTCTGTCGCAGGGGTGGCTGTTCCATGATCAGCAATTAATCTTGGGTCTGTCTCACTCAAAATGACAAACATGATGAAACCATGAAGTGGGAAGAGGACAGATCTTGTCGACTTATCTCCTGATATCGTGGTGTGGAAAAACTTAATCCTACCCCTTAACCCTTGCAGTGGGTATATTTATGAAAATATAATCTATGATGGCACCTCTAAACAAACTAAATTCATGGTTATGTTCCCACAGACACTGACGATGAAAATGTTGCATAAGTGTTGTATTAGACATTTTTGTTCTGGTACGCACATAATGTCTGCATCAAGCACATGTCGACTGTCTTTGTTCAACCACCACAAGGCATCACCGATGGCAAGATGATACTGAGATGATACATATAGATACCAGTATGGTTCATCATGGAGAATGATGAACTGCAGAATTATTACCAAGTCATCAAGCACTGTTGTGTGTCCCCTCCCACTCGGATCAAATGAGTTCTCCAGGATCTTCTGACCAAAGTAATTACTTCTGTTTGGATGGCAGAAAAACATTCGCCTGTTGCCATTTTTAATATTCCTGACACAATATGGAGTTTTGAGATCGACCATCTCTCTTCAGTCACTTTGCCTCCATTTTCAGAGTGAAATGTTTATGCATCAGTCCTGCAGACAGTGAAATGAAAACTATTTTTGGGCAAAGTGAGCGATTATAACTCACTGATATTAAGATAATGGAACATTTTAAAGCAAGAACATCCTGGATTTAAATACCAGATTGGACCTTTCTTTGTTGAGTTTGCTTGTTCTCCCTGTTGGTGTGCGTGGGTTTTGTCTGAATCCTCCATCAGCCCAAGAAACACGGGGTGGGGATAGGCTGACTGTCTAAATTCCCCTGAAGTGTGAGGGCATGTGAGTCTTTGGTTGTCTTGTTTGACAAATGTGTTGGTCCTGTGATGAGAGCTAAATGAATTCATAGACCACTAAAGAGTGGCTTCCAAACCCTTGGAAGGAATAAGTGGGTATGGAAAAGGATCGACCAAAGCCCTCCCATGCATTCATTCACATGGGCTCAAAAATTTCAACATTCGCTTTTTAAGAGTTAGAACCTAGAACAGCTTAGAAAAGATTCATTGCAATTACATGGTGATTCAAGCCCAATGGGCTTGAATTCAGCAAATTGTACTTTGCTGAAAGCACCCATGGTTACAAGAAAGAAAAAGGAAATTTTCAGTTCTAAATTTTAAATATATTGTAGAATCTGTTCGCTGTCTTGATTGAAAACAAGCCCCTTGAACTACACTGTGCTTTGTCCAGAGGGCTCAGGTTCTTATCGAGAAACAAATGCTTCCTGGAGGTCTGGATACCGTTGAAGTTTCAGATTTTACTCAGTTAACATTCATCAGTGACATGTAATGCACCAATTAAATACTGTGAAGTTCGTCAGAAGTTGCCTGGACGTTAAACAACCATCCTTCGCTCTGCAGAGAGAAGTGCCGACCAGAACAAAGCGGCTGTTAATTTATTATTCGGAAGCGTGGCCTATATAGATTGGCCGGCTACCTTCACTTCCTCCACTGCCATTGCTAAAACTACAGGCAGACGATAATTCTGAAACAGTGCAGAAAATGGAAATCATTCACGAATTCTCTTTCAGTTAGCTGATTGGCC